AAAGACAAAGAAGATTGCAATCCCACATCCGCCTGCTTCCCCTCTCTCTCTCTCTCTCTCCGATGCGGACAGTCCGTCGTCTCGCATCCGCCCACGAAGTTGTCACCCCGCTTAGTCCGCATGCGCCCGTCAGGTTCGCCCGTGCGCCACAGGCCGCCATGGCCTACACGTCAACCCCGCACACTTGGCACCAACTCCTCAGGTCGTCTAACTCCCACATGAACTCACCTCTTACTTTGCTCATTAGTCGACCCTCACTGATCGCGCTAACCTCGAGCTTCCAAAAAAAAATTAGAGAGCTATCTAATCGCGCCGACGAAATTTATAGCATGCATGCGTGCACGAAGATGCGAGATTGCAGGGATTGAAAAGAGGAGCAAAGAAGGAAGTGCCTACGCTTGGTATGGCCAGATCGCGGCGTGGGGGACGTAGCCACTCCCCACGCATCGCTCTAGGTATGCACCGCTCAGGCCAATCAGATGCAACAAAAAGAAGGGAAAAAGGGTGGGAAGAAGGCGAGGGAGCAAGAAGAAAGATAGAGTTACAATGGAGCTCACCCATCGATTACAGTTGCATGCAAGATTAAGGGCGCCGCTTAGTCAGAACTTTGTTCCCGCCGCAGGAATATGCGCGCAAGAAAAAGGCGCCGCTCGGCAAGAAATTCAAAAAGTCCTAAATTCCTATCTGAACTCAAAATTGCAGCAGAAAAATTATGACGAGACAAAGAAATCAAAATTCTGAGAGCCCTCGGGGCTCGTTCTTAGTTGAAAGGAAAATTTAAAAACAAAAACCGAAAAGGTCCTGCGCGATCATCCCGCCAAAAATCTTTGTTCCCTCCTTCTACTTTCAGTAGAGCAAGAAAGAACCATCGCCAACCGTTATTGATCACGCCCAACGAGGCGCGCACACTCCACCGTCTGTCCCGGGCCTGTCCCACCGCCGCCGAAGGGGAAGGAGCAAAGCGAAGGAAAATAAAGAAGCGAGGACACTGACGCAATTTACCCGCCGACCCCACTTCCCGCAATTTGCCCAACCTTCCCATCTCAGGACCCCTCATTGTCATCGAGCAGAAAGTCGCGCGGCAGAGAAAGTGGTTCGTCACATATGTGACGCCAAGGGGGTTCCAATCTTGAGCAAGCTCCTGCTTGCTTGATGTTGTGACACGTGTCGATCGCTTTAATCGATCGACGAGGCGGAGCTCTCTACGTGCCACTTACCGTGTGATAAGAGTGTGGAAGTCATCCAACTTGGCATACACGGGCTCTATCCTGCAAGTTCCCCGGGAAGGGCAGCTAACCACGGACGGAGGAGGTGGTGGGGGATCTTGCCAATTTACACGTGTTATTCCCGTAGGATATGATCATGGGAATCCTCCTGCTGACACGTCATCAGATCCGATGGTGCGCTAATGACCCGCAGGGAGAGGATAAGGGAGTGGTTACATGGGGGCATGGCGAGGGGGAGGATCACTTCGGAGTGGGGGTCAGAAAGCCTCCATCCCTGCTACCGTCTCCGGCAGCTCTTGATATCTGAGAATGCGATGTATGTGGGGGAATCGATGGCCGCTATGCGGGAGAGAAGCGAGATAGTCGGGATAGAGGGTCGGAAAGGTGTGGAGCAGGGTCATGCGGAACTGATCATAGTCCTCGCACGCGGGGATAGTTCCCGGGATCATGCAGTAGACTTCGACCATGTTATGTCCCCACCATGCGACACTGAAGAGAAGGACGTGGAGGGAGAAGGAGGAGGCGGCGCATCTCGTGGTGGAATGCGGATACACCGTGACAGCGAGGCGAGTGGCGTAGAAGTGATGGAAGGTGGAAGTCGAGAAGGGGTTCCGAAGGAAGGAGACCGGGGTATCGATCTGCCGGAGGGTCAGGAAATCAAGGGGACAACGGGATAACGACCGAGGATGTAGCTCGATGCCCCTCATCGCCACGTGTTCGAACTGAGGGATGGGGGGAAGGGGAGGGGGAGTGGCTTTGTCACCTCCTTGCCGGCGCGCTTGAAGTCTCTGCAGGAGGGAGTTCATCTTCGATCGAGGGCGGCTTGGGATCTCTGGTCGGGTCCTCCGGGATTGGCAAATTAGTGCCGCTGGAATGCTCCAACGGTCGCTTCCCTGCCGCTATCTCTTTCCTTCGCTCGGCCACCGCGGGATCCTCTTCTCGGCCTTCCGCCTGGTCGGCCTCTCCTCCCAAACTTTCCCATTCGGACTCCTCTCCTTCTTCTTCTTCTTCTTCACTCACCGCCCCTGGCTCTTCTTCGCTGTACTCGCTATAGCTTCCCTCTTCTTCAGAGGTCTCTTCCTCCTCGTCCTCCTCCGTCACTTCCTCCTCTACCGCTTCCTCCTCCGACGCCGTTCGGGGCTGAAGTCGGGGGTTCAGATACTCCGCGCGTGATGGGTAGCTACATCTTCCCCCGCGATCCTCCAGGCAGGCCGACCATTGTAAGTACGACATTAAACTCCGCGAAAGCACGTGCGGTGCCAGATTCTCGTCGTGATGCGATATGATATCGGTTGGAAGATCGTCGAGCAGGTGCGCAAAGGGGACCAAGAGTTCCCACACGATCGTTTGGTGATGCCCTCGGTCTACGAATCCAAGAAGGTTTCCCTCCACCTCCGACCTCCAGGCTTGGATAATAAGCAGCTGCACACCCTCACTCGTGGCACGATGCTCACTGTCCTGAGTCCACGTTAGCTCGATCCTGACTAGGCACAAAGAAAGGGTGAAGTAATTCTCACACCATATCTCCCACTGCGATGGCTTGATAAGCGGAACTGTAAGCAGCCGCACACAGAAGGAGAGGCTGGGATGGAGGGTTGACTACCAGAAAGTGGGGAAGAAAGAGGGGAGGGTGAAGGTAGAGAATTGGGAACGGTTCATTGAGGGCGCGAGAAAGGGACGAGCGCAGGGAGAGAAACTGTTGGCCCGTGTCGGAGGGTGCGGATGCTGCCAGTGTCAATACTGTTGGTATTGACGACGTTTTCCCCTCGTCGTGCCAATAGCTGGTTCCAAGCTTGCGGCAATTCCTCGTCCCACTCCCTGAACGAGGTACGGATGGCCGTACGTGCTCTGGGATACACCGTACTAAGATCCCCGCTGAAGAAGACAACCGTCGAAATATGACTGATTCCTAGCGCCGAGAGTCGCCAATAAGTCGATGCTTCGGCCAGCACCTGCGCCCGACTGTTGGGGACCACAAAGCGAAACTCTGCTGCCGCGTGCACACCTGCAGTGCTGAAGAACTGCGCGAATCTGAGAACGTCGGAGCTGATGCGCGGATGATGGACTTGCCGGATCGTCGAGATGTTCCCTCGTGGCTCCAGCATACGTTCACTGAGGACCTGCTCCGTGGAAAAACTCATGGCGACGAGGAGGGAGAAGATGAGTGGGGAGAAGAAGGGGAATGAGGATTGTTGCCCTCCCACTCCGATTCCGAGATCGACCTGGTTGGGAAAGGGGGAAAAGAAGCTGAGAGATGGCGAAGGTAAGACACGTGGCGGACGATCGGGTGAGCCGCTCGGCTGCCTAAGGCTTCGGGCACCAGTCGCACCGTGTTCACCCTCTTCGGACCAAGCTCAATCACGCGAAATCGCCCGAATAATCGTGGCGCTAGCTTACCCTGGCGAGCACATTTCCTCACTTGCACCATGTTCCCTAATTTGTACTGAGGCCGTGGTCCCACGTTTCCGTTTCGGGCCTCGTAGCTACAGATTTGTCGTTCGCGGGCCAATTCAGTCATCCGCTATCGTTTCCGGGCCAACCTAGGGAGGGACCGTTCCATTAGTTCCAAGCGTCGCTTGGCCTTGTCCCGGGCCGTGGCCCTTGTGGGTCGTCGACCTAAGGCAGATTCCTCGTTAAGGCTTGGTATCGAGACAAATGTCAAGCTATTGGTGCGGAGTTGGAAGGGGCTCAGGCCTATGGATTCGTAGGGCGTTCCTCGATGGACCGCCAGAATGTGGTCCACAATATCGGGTCAGGGCCTCGTGTCCCTGGCCGCGATATTGCATCGAAGGGCGGTCTTAATTACCCGATTCGTGTTTTCTACTAGTCCGTTCAATTGCGACATGTGTGGTGCGGTGTTACCAATGGCGACCTCATGTATGACCAGTTTCCTCAAAACTTCTCCCCTAAAATCTGCCCCGTTATCCATCAGAATTTCCTCAGTGTCTTGATGCATCCCGAGGAAACGGTTGACATACCCCGCGATTTCAACCGCCTGTCACGTTCGGCATGGATATGCCTCGATCCATTTGGAAAAATGATCCACGAATACCAATAAAATTGAATATTCACAGCTATTCGGTCCAAGGGGCACCATTATATCGATCGTGTCCATACTAAGTCTTTGAAAAGGTTGTTCGACTACTGTGGGCACTATCGATCTTGGTTGCTGAATCGGCGCCTTGTCAGCGGCACAGACCTGACAGTTTCAGACGATGAATTTGACATCGTCACGAATATTGGACCAATACCATTCGTTTTTGTCGATCCCCGTTTCAATGATCCGGACGGCGAAGTGAGCTGGGGTATCTTCGTGGGCTGACTTAACCCAGTCATACCTCATGAACGGGTGTGGTACAGTCATCTAAATCCCACTACCGTCCGTCTTCCATTTTTCCAACCGTCCCTCGTTCCATCGATAATCCTGAGCCCTTTCATTGGCCCTCCTCCGGTCCTCCCTAGTGAAGTCTCGGAGCGGGTTCCCTACTACGGTCGCTATCAGGGCGACATCGGTCCAAACCTCAGCCCTTCTAAACCTTTGAGTTTTTTTTAATCCTTCTGACGTGGCGTCGAGGAATCGAGCCTCGGTCGGGATTTTATCGGTCCGACACAGGGGGCACAACCAATGCTTATTGCCGCTTCGGTATTGGATACAAGAGCCATGAGCTCTGGACACACACTGCCGACAATCTACCCATTCGACATACCCATCCCCACTAGGATGCATAGGGACCGAGTAGACCCGCGAAATCGCTTCACATAAATAACTAAATTTGTCGGGTAAAGAAAGAAAAGACGAAGTCAAGAGGGGAGAGAGGGGAGCATTGGAGTTACCTCCATCACCCATCACCACGTGCTTGTCTCACGGTGCGTGGGAGAACTGCCACCTGTCCGTACCGGGGTCCACTGGTTGGCTCCGGTTCCTTCCACGGGATGATTTCTTCACCCTTTGCGACCTTCGTTGGACGATGTAGTCGTGTCAACCCGTCCGCGTTTCCGTGCCTTTCTGTCTTCCGATGGATGATGTCGAAATCGTATTCCTGTAGCCGCACCACCCACCATCCAATGATGCCTGTGTAATTTGTGAGCCTTTTGAGGGCCAATAGCGGCTCATGATCCGTAACAAGGAGAAACTTTTGTCCGTACAGATACGGATGGAAGTGATGGATTCCCCAAACCACCACGTAACACTCTCCTTGCAGGGCCGAATCGTTCCTTCGTTCGTCTGGTACAGTACGGGAGGCGTACTCGATAACAATGCTCGTGTCCGTCGTTCCCTTTCTGTGCTAGAATAGCGGAGATTGCCTCGGGTTGCCAGTCCGTAATAAGGATAAACTGCTTTGTTGGGTCCGGCCGGATCAAAATAAGTGTTGTGGCCAGGGTCTCCTTGAGAGTGACAAAGGCCCGTTCGCACTCCTCGTCCCAACTGAGGGGCTGGTCCTTCCGTAGCAGGTTCGTTAAAGGTCATGCGGTAGCGGCGAACCCCTTGATAAATCGTTCATAATACGAAGTCAGTCCGAGGAAGGCTCGAACCTGCGTCAGCGACGTGGGAGTCGGAGCATCTCGGACAGCCTTGACCTTCCTCGGATCGGGCCGCAAACCACCCCGAGTCACCACGCAACCTAGGAACGAAATCTCAGGGAGAAAGAACTCGCTTTTCTCCAACGCGATCTTGAATCTGGCGTCCCTTAAGGCTCCCAGTGTACACTCAATGTGTTGCGCGTGCCCGTGGTAGGATTTCGAATAGACCAGGATGTCGTCCATGTACACAATGACGCAGAAAGTGATCATCCCCTGCGTCAGTCGAGTCTTGTTGACAAAATTATGAAATATCACATTCATCGCTCGCTGGAACGTGGTCGGCGCGTTGCAAATCCCCATCGGGCATCGAACCCACTGCCACGTACCTTCAAACAGAACAAAGGCCATCTTAGGCCGATCCTCCTCCTTAACCAGAATATGGTGAAACCCGTGGCGGATATCGAACTTACTGAAGTAGTTAGCACACTCAATCGCATCCAATAAATCATCAATCCGGGGAAGGGGGTATACATCTTTAATCGTGATATCATTCAGTTTTCGATAATCGATGCAAATGTGGACCGACCCATTCTTCTTCGGTACGAGAACTACTGGGAACGACCACGGTCCCGTAACCGGATCAATCCATCTGTTAGCCTCGAACTTTCTAATCCTCTGGAAGGCCGTTTTCCGTTCAGCGAGGGAATATCGATACGGTTTGCAATGGATTGGGGGGTGATTTCCAGTCTGAATCTTATGTTGGATTATTAGTGACAGTCCGATGTCCGTGTCTCCAGTCTGAATCTCGTGTTGGATGATTAGTGACAGTTCGATGTCCGTGTTCGTTACGCTAACTGCTCTATGATATTCCCTTAGGATTTCCGCAATCAGGCGATGTAACTCGTAAGGTTGCCCGTGGATAACGACCGTCACGTGTTTCATGCGCATCATCTTCGCGTCTCGTGGAGGCGAGGAGGAGATAAAGGAGTTATCCGACCGCCACGAGAACACGGTGGCGACCATCTGAGTTTCCTCTTCTCGGATAACCACGTGTTCTTTAGGGGTTATCCCATCCTCGACATCCCGGGAATCTATCGGTCATTCGGTGATTCGTATTCCCATCTCGAACAGCGAGGCTTCGGGATACCCAGGGGGTTCCGAAGCCCGTGTCTCTGCTCCTAGGCGTAGTAATCTCACTTCTTTTTCCATGGTGAGAAGCGATCGTGGAGGAATGCCCGTAACATCACAAAACGACCGTTTGTCCAGGTATCGTGGTAGCGGTGGGGCAGCTCCCTCGTATAGGGTCCGAGGGGGTTCCAAAGAATCGGGCATCCATGACACCTGTACTAACGGATCTCCTAGGATAAGGGCCCGAGTTCGTCGGGCTGCCTCGTTGCTAAATACGAACGTCTTCATTGTTTTCTGTCGAACCGGGGAATGGATTATCCGTAGTGCTAGTTCGAGAATCTACGGGTCGTTCTCTTCCTCACTTTCGGAGGTGATCAATGGCAAAGAAGCCTCGTTTTCTTTAGTGTTGGAGTCGTCCGTGGATTCTTACCATCGTATCATTCGCAGAACCGTGCCAGGTTCCTGTCGTTGTCGCTCGACCATCGAGGCTGCCCTAAGAGTGAGACGCATCATAATGGTGTACGCTTTTCCTCCTATGTTGTTGAGGATAACGGCTCGTCGTTCAAAATCCAGCGTGGCTCGCAACGTGATGAGGGTCGATAAACCGACAAGAACGTCGTACGTGTTCAAATTTAGGACCACCACGTCACCTAAGGCATTGACCTTACCGATGAGGAAGGCTACATTCGCCATCCTCCCTATGACTCGGATCTTGCCTTCATCAGCGGAGACGAAGTGATCGCCTTCCGCGAGTGGGATCACATCTTTTCGCCTGCCGGCCCGTTCGACTACTCGCAAGGAGATGGCCAAGACCGCGGCTCCGGTATCAAGGACCTCGCTATAGGGGTTTCCCCAAACTTCCATGTCGCATTCTGCGGATTTCCATGGAAGTGCCCGGACACGTATAAAGTGATCGTCTTTCTAGATTAGGCCCATTCGAACAAGCTCTGAAGTACTCGATATGTCAGATCTTGGCTCCTTGGCGGGGGCCTTTCCTTTCGCAATCGTTAGTCTGGCAAGGGCGAACCATTTTCGGTTCCCCTTGCAATGTTGTAGCATCTGATCGTTAGCTTGTTTGGAAATGGACAACAGGTGTCCAATTGGTAGGGGAATATGGTGGTCTAGCCCTCGAACGATATCTAGAACGTCGATTTCTCCTGTGACGAACACGGGTCCTCCCGTTTCTATCTCGTTCGGGAGGGTCTCCATTCCGATACTTCGTTATGGTCGGGGGCGGGCTGAATGGCCCAGATCATACCGAGGCCTGGATATCCTACTGATAGGTACTGATCAAGCAGGATGAATTCGGCTGCTTCCTCCGTAGCCCCTGATGGGCTCACACCATTGTCTGTTTCTTCCACTATCGTAGCCACCCGACCAGGTCCGTTAACGATCGGGGCCGCCGCCACTGGCGCTGTGCCGATCCTGGGTTGTGCAGGTCGGTGGGGGCAGTCCCGGGCTATATGTCCTGGCTGGTGACACGTGTAACAAACACTTGTGTTGGCTACTGCCCCTCCTATTGTTAGGGCAGGGGCTGCTCCTCGCATTCCTGTGGATGCCCTAATGGTAATGGGGCGCATCGACCTCATCGTCGATTCGATTCGTGCATTGTGCTCACGCTGCTCCTTCTTACTTCCCTGCATCAAATTGACTAACGTTCGAGTTAATTCTAATATAGCATTGGATTCGATAGGCTTTGCGGGGACGCTTGGGGGAAGCGATGGTATGATCGAGGTGGGTAGTCTTGCGACTGTATCGGGTATCGACCTTTTGGCCGCGACCTGTTCTAGGTAGGTGACGGGTCCGGAGACGAAACCCATATTTTCGAATTTGTTCTGAAGTGATGCCATCTCAGCTTTCGCCCGAGCCAGCTCCGAGGAGTCCCCTTCCTTGGCGTGATCTTTGCTTTCTAGGAAGTTGGCGGCGAACTTTCTTTCCATCTCCTCGGCTCTGTCCATAATCTGCTGCATGGTATGGTTGATAGGGGAGAACTGCTTTCGCAATTTTGCTCTCATCGCCCGACTTCGAAACCCATCGATAAACAAGTCTCTACCTATTTTTTCGTCTCTCTTGGACTTGACAAACAACCTATAGAACCGACTACGATATTCTAAACGGATTCAAGCGGTTTCTGCATACGATCTTTTATCATAAAGAAAGCCTGTTCAGGGTGAATGTAGTCGAACCGATTTAGGAAGTTTTTTTCGAAGGTCGGGAGGTCAATCCAGGCGTAGGTACTGAACCAATGCGTCGTTAGCTCCTCCCAGTCGGGGGGGGATGTTGATCCGGGCTTCATCGTTATCGTACTGTTGAGCCCGTAAGGTGGCCAGCCATGCCCCAGCCAGGTGATGCGCAGGGTCGAAGAGATACAAATCAGGGGGAGCCGCCGGTGCGCAAACTCGGACAGGTGGTGCAGGGACAGGTGCCCCGCCCAATTGTACATTTACATTTGACGCTTGATTGGCGTTCATATCGACGACCTGTCTTCTGACCGATCGATTCCTAAGCACTATAGGATCGCGTCGAGGCGTGTTCCGCTGTCTAGGTCGTCCTCTATTCGCCAGATCATCTTAGCGTCTATCCTGCCCACTTCCTTGTGAGTTCGCCACGTGTCGACTCCGTTACCAACCTCACGCTCAACGCGACTTCCTGACCGGAGTGGGATGGGGGCCCAGAAGTGCGAAAAAGGGGTATGCCAAGGATTTTTGGGGATTTGGGGTGGAGTCCCAGGTCGGAACTGATATCTCTTGTGGCAAGTCTCAGGGGTAGGAGTGCAAGTGTCTTTTGGCTCAGAGTTGGGGTGATGATCGATCGTGCTGCCTGGGCCGGGGCGGGGTGTTACGAGCGTCTCTTTGGGAGTGTTCGTACCGCTGCCAGTCGTCGCAAGTTTCGGGGTCCGACGAAGACGAGTTGGGTTCTCGTCGCTCGGTCCTGGGGTGGGCTCGTCGTGCAACCCTCACCTGCCAATGCTCGTCGGGCTGCTGAAATTCCGAGCACGGCGGCCGAGGCCAGAACCGGGCTATGAAATCCCAGGGGACCACGAGTAACTGGTGGTAAGGGAGGACGGTATAGTAGGGCGGGAAGTCAATGGTGATGGCCAGGGTTGTCGAGCCCCGGCCCCAGGGTCCCGGCGGGGGTCCCGAG